AGCTAAAGTGGTGCTTAGAGGAAATTTTATAGAATTAGACTGATATTAGGAAAGAAGTAATGTCTCTAAGCTTTCACTTTAAGAAATTTGGGGCATCTAGGTGGCCCAGTTGGTTAAGCAGCTGACTCTTGATTTTGGCTCAGGTCATGATCTCATGGTTCTTGGGTTTGAGCCCCATATCGGTTCTGCCCTCACAGTGCGGAGCCTGCTTTGGAGGCTCTGTCTCCCTCTCTCTGCCCCTCCTCTCCCAAAAATAAATAAATGTTAAAAAAATTTAAGAAAAAAAACTAGAAAAAGAAGAGTACATTAAACCCAAAGTAAGCAGAAAGAAGAAAATATTTTTAAGAAAAGCAGAAATTAATGAAATTTAAAATGGAAAATCAATAGAGAAAATCACTGAAACAACAAAAAAACCAGTTCTTTGAAAAAAATCAATAAAATTGACTAACTTCTAGCAAGATTGACATGAAAAAAAAAAAGAAACAAATTACAAATATCCAGAATGAAACAGAAGATATCATTACAGATTCTGCAGACAACAAAAGGATAATAAGGATAATATATTTATATAATAATATATATTATATATATTTATGTAATAATAATATATACTATATATATATATTTTTTTAAAGTATTTATTTTGAGAGAGAGAGAGAATGAGCAGGGGAGGGGCAAAGAGAGGGAGAGAGAGAATCCCAAGCAGGCTCTGCACCGTTAGCTCAGAGCCCAATGTGGGGTTGGAACACACAAGCTGTGAGATCATGACCTGAGCCGAAATCAAGAGTCAGATGCTTAACTGACTGAGCCACCCAGGCACCCTTCAATCTCATCACTTCTATTCAGTGTTGTACTAGAGGTCCTAGCTAGTGTCGTAAGGCAAGAAAAAGAAACAGCATGCATATATATTGGAAAGAAAAAAAAAACAAACATATTCTTAGGTATCATGATTATCCACATAAAAATATCAAAGAATCTATGAAAAAGCTGCTTGAACTGAAAAGTAATTTAGCGGCTTTGCAAGATACAATGTCAACATGAAAAAATAAATTCCATTTCCATATGCTATAAATAAGTAGAAATTGAAATAAAAATAACATTTGCCTTAGCATCAAAAATCATGAAACACTAGGTATAAATCTAACAAAATATTGGAAGATCTGTATAAAGGAATGAACAACTGATATACACAACAATATGGATGCATTTTAAGAGCATTATGCTAAGTGAAAAAAGCTGTAAGCAAAAGATTATATGCAATATGTTTCCATTTATATGAAATTCTAGAACTGTAGTAACAGAAAGCACATCAGTGGTTGCCAGGGTCCAAGTATAGAAGGAAGACATTACCTACAAAGAAGTACAAGGGAGCTTTTTGGTGTTATGGAAAAGTTCTATCTTGATTGTGGTGGTGGTTATATAACTGTATACGTTTATCAGAACACAGAAGCATACACATAAAATTGGTGAAGTATATGCAAAATGTACCTCAATAAAGTTGATTTTAAAATAGAAAGTCGTCAGATTGCCACAGAGGATGGATTGATGAGGGTAATCAAGACAAGAGGCATAGATGTTAATTATTCAGTCACAAAAGCTAGAATTTTGAAAAAGAAAGTTGATTGACAAATAAGGGGAAAGCACAAGAAGACCAAAAAAGGAAAATACAAAAGCACAGAAACAGATGAGCTTCCGGAACACAGATTTTGTGTGCTAAGATAATTTAAAGACGAGCCACAGATTGGCATGACAGACACAGCCACCTGGGTGCACTGGCTCTCGTTCCTTTCTCTGCCCCACTCTGGTCTCCCTTGAATGCTGTGAGAAGCTGCTCAGGCTAATTCCAAGGTAGGCTCATATTAGTACCATTGTTTCAGTTTGCCGGTTGCATTTTTAGGACTCCTAAGGGGGAATTTGGTTCTGAGCTACTTTCTGAAGCTGGAAAGGCCAGGGGTCAAGTGGCCTCTGTGGCCGCTTGTTTACTCTTTTGGTTGATGAGCACTTATTATTTCCACTGAGCTCTTAGCTAGTAGCCACTTCCTGTCTTCACATGATCCCACCCCTGTAGGGGTGTCCTGTGCAATACTTGGGACTTATATGTACTATTTTTTTTTTTTAATTTAACTTCAGTTGGGTATCCTGTCCCCCTAGGATTCCACCTAGGATTACCCTTCCAGGTAATCCTGGCTTTTTTCCGGGTAATTACTGAGACTATGTTTTCCCTCAGTCTTATCCTTCAGGTTTACAGTGACAATATGTTTACACATCCAGGAACAAAAACAGACTCATGCCCAACAACCTGGAAGAGGAATATTGTCCTCTCAAGATTCAGGCTAGTCTGAAAAATGGGGTTATCTTTTCTCTATATAGCTATGACCTCCACACAGGTAATCAAAACCTGCCACAATGAGTCTCCTTACCTACTGGAGAAATATTTCTCTTTGCATGTTTAAGGAAAAATAAAAATTAAATTCTTGCCTTAGACTAGTAGCAAGAAGTTAAAGATGTGATCAATCCTGGGCTGCCTGGGTGGCTCAGTCGGTTGAGTGTCTGATTTCAGCTCAAGTCATGATCTCACGGTTTGTGAGTTCAAGCCCTGTGTTGGGCTCTGTGCTGACAGCTCAGAGCCTGGAGCCTGCTTCAGATTCTGTGTCTCCCTCACTCTCTGCCCCTCCCCTGCTCACCTTTTGTCTCTCTCCCTCTCTGTCTCGAAAATAAACATTAAAAAAAATTTTTTTTAGAAATGTGATCAATCCAATCAAAGACTGATTTGCTTCTTCTTCAACAATTCCTTGTACATATAATTTGCATACAAAGATCTTACTTGATCTGACTTTTTCCTAAGCGTGTCTGAGTCTAGCTTGAAGGCAATCTCATACCAAGAAAAACATACTGAATTGTAGCATCTGGTACAAGGACTAGGGATTCTTTATTGTCTGATCAGTGCCCTAAAATGTCTTCATGAATCAGATAATATTTTAAACCTCAAGTACCATCAACTTCATTATTTGAAATCTGTGATCTTATATTTGCCATGTATTTTAAACTCTTATTAATGATGAAAATGAGGCTGTCAATTAAGCTAAATGACATGACTGGGGTTACAGTAAGTCAGCTGTTACAGAGTGCTGGAGTCAGGAGTTCTTGCTTCAGTGGGTGATGAGAAATCTATGTCTCTCTCTCTTCTTTTCTGGTTCCCCATTTCTCTCAACATCCCCAAAACCCTAAATTAGAGACATAAATTGAACATATTTATGACTTAAATATTTAGTAATTGGCTATACTATTTATTCATAGGTTAAATTTTCACAAAAACTATAATCCATGGACCAAAAACACATGGGTGAATCTTGCCTATAAGTATCATTCTTGTGCATTAAATATATACATGTTGATTCATAGAGTAGGCATATATTAGTCCTAAATGAGTACATGTGACTGATGAAGAGACCAATGTCTCTCACATTCTATGTCCCTTTGCCCCATTGCATCAGTGAGGCACAGAACCTCTTTGCCTCAACTAATTATAGCAGAGAAAAGGCTTTTGGTTTTCAAAAGTGCAAGGGCTCAGGGCATAGAGAAAACCTAATGCGGGGTGCTAGGGTGGCTCAGGTCATGATCTCAAGGCTCATGAGTTTGAGCCCCACATTGGGCTCTCTGTTGTCAGTGCAGAGCCTGCTTCGGATCCTCTGCCCTCTCTCTGCCCCCTGCCCCCGACTCATGCTCTCTTTCTCTCAAAAATAATTAAACATTAAAAAAAACTAATGAGAAAGAACGAGACTTCCTATCAACTCATCATTCCCCCAAAGATCCACAGGTGAGGGGAGAAGGAAAAGAAGAGAATTGGAGGGGAGGCAAAGGGAAGTTAACTGAACTCTGGTGTGGCCTGAGAGGGGGTTTCCATGCACCGCTTCCTCCTCCATGCTGAGGCCCTGAGCGGAAGGTGAGGAGAAGTGTAAAAAAAACAAAAAAACAAAAAACACAAAACAAAACAAAACCAAATAAGATCCTAGAATCTGGTGAGCATCTATATACTCTCTTACACAATCCCTCCTCCCTGCAACCCATCCAAAGGCGAGGGAGGCAGCCAGAGCCAGGGTCCCCTGGAATACCTGAGTATATGATAGAGTTCTGGGTTCATGGTCCCAGGAGCCTCACAGACTTATCTGTGCTCTGGGCTACAAGGGGGGGGGGGGGGCCTGGAATGACCTCTGAGAGAGTTCAACCTTGGCAGTCTTGAAGCCTCCCTGCATTGACAATGGACGACCAGACAGGAATGAGGATGCCTCATTCATTGGATGGGTATCCATTATTGGGTGGACAATGACCCAGATCAGATGCCTACTCTCACTCAGACAAGCACTCAGTTCTTCCCCAGCAACTTAGGCAGATGGAAGGAAAAAACCCTTCTTGATTGAGATTGTTTCCATTTAAGGCATACTAACATTGGTTATTAGGAGACTAAATGAAGTTATATATTTTAGAGCACTAAATTTATGGTCTGAAATACATGTCTATTACAGATAGAAGATAGATAGATGACAGATAGATAAATAGATAAATGATAGATATAGAGTATAATATTTTATATATTTAAATTATGTGCATTCTCTCTATATATAGCTTAGAAATTTGCTGGGGAAGTAGATAATTAGGGGAGTGGGCTTTTCTTTTCCATCTATGATGAAGGCTCAAGAGGGTGAGCAGGAAATTATCACATTGGTTCCAATAAAGAAAATGAAAAGAAAATGCACACGTGAGTGTGCGTGCATTTATGCATGTGTGTGTGTGCACATGTGTGTGTGTACAGAGTAGAATAGTGTAGTGTAGGATGGATAGATGGATAGATAGACAGACATCTTGAGCTACCACCTCTCTGCCTAGAACAGTTCTTATAATGATGGAAAAAAGCCAGAGTACTCCTAAAGCTTCCATATGAACCTAAACAATACATCTCCTAGGCTCTCCAATCTACTTTGCCAGCCTTAACTGCGCAGTTTATCTTGTGGCCTCTGGCTGTCATAGTGGATGGTCAGAATTCCTGCTGTAACTCCAGGACGAGACCACGCTTTCTGAAACAATTAGATGGTGAGTAGGAAACACCAGTTGAGTTTGGCTCAGCAAGTCTTTTTCTCCCTTAATGACAAAGCATGAATAAATCAAAGACCATTTCTGAAAGTTTGTAGACAAAGCACAGACCTTGGGCTTTCATTTTGAGGATGAAGACAATGTAATACATTTATTTATTAAATAGCGAGAGGGAAAAAATGTTTCTGGTTCTCTTGGGAACCACTTAAACCAAGAAACAGGTAGATCTGTGCATAGCAACCTGACTAGATATTTTAATTATGAGAGACAAAATGGTGATGTGGCTGAAAGTGTGAACCTTGGAGTCGGGTGGCCTGGGTTTGAATCCCAGCTCTGCCTCAGGTGGCTTTTGTATCTCAGTTTTCCTATTTGGAAAAGGGGGTTTACAATAGTAGCTCCCTCATGGGATTGCAGTGAAGATTAAATGAGTAATATGTAAAGAATCTAGATTAGTAAGCACTATGTTATTGTACTGTTATTTGTTTTAAAATATTACTGTGTGGAGAGAGACCACCTGCTTACTCTGTACCACTTAGGCAGAATTGGGAATAGTTCAAAAAGCGATATAAGAGCTTCAGATGAGGAATAACGAAGAATTTGGGGAGTTTTTGTTGTTGTTTTTTAAGTTCTGGAATAGTTCGCCAAAGAAGTTACAAGGGCTTGAAAAACAGATGCCCTTAAAAGCAGGATAATAGGGGGTGCATGGATGGCTCAGTTGGTTAAGCATCCAACTCTTGATTTTAGCTCAGGTCATGATCTCACGGTTCATGAGATTGAGCACTATGAGTATAGAGCTTGCTTGGAATTCTCTCTCTCCCTCTCTGCCCCTCTCCCTGCTGTGCCCCTCTGCCTCTCTCTCAAAATAAATAAATAAATTTTCAAAAGAGCAGGAGAGTTACTCATTGGACCAGAATAGTTTTAGTGTAAATCTGTTGTACTAGGATGACCTCATGATGAGCGCTAAACTTCTTGATCTGGATGGCTTGGAATTTCATTTAGTTGTAAGTTTCTTCGGACCCCAAATCAGCTATGTCTCTGGTGATGATGGTGGATGGTTTGTCATTTCTTAAATGTACTTTAACCCTGGTGGCGGACCAACTGCATATTAAACACCTAGAGAAGAGACTGGAACTAGAATACAGTCAGAGTTGTTTTAATATTCCAGAGGATGAAGATTTACAAAGAGCATTTTGACTATTCAGGATGGTTTTCCATGTGAGTTAATGCTATTGAACAGAAGAGTACGTTTTTGGGGCGCCTGGGTGGCTCAGTTGGTTAAGCATCTGACTTCGGCTCAGGTCATGATCTCACTTCTCATGGGTTCAGCCCTGTGTCAGGCTCTGTGCTGGTGGCTCAGAGCCTGGGGCCTGCTTCGGATTCTGTCTCCATCTCTCTACCCCTCCCCTGCTTGCACTGTGTCGCTGTCTCTGTCTCTGTCTCTCTCTCTCTCAAATATAAAATAAAACATTAAAAAAAATTTTTTTGTAATAAAAAAGAATAGAGAGTTTTCCTAAACCCCGTTATGTGACTTGATACATGCTCCTCAGTTGTTTGAGAAAAAGGTCAAGAAGACACAGGACAGAAAAATTAAAATGAAAATTTTAAACTAGGTTCCTGGGTGGCTCAGTCGGTTGAGCGTCTGACTTCAGCTCATGATCTCTCAGTTTGTAGCCTCCAGCCTCACATCAGGCTCTCTGCTGTCAGCAGAGCCCACTTGAAATCCTCTGTCCCCCTCTCTCTCTGCCCCTCCCCTGCTCATGCACGCATCACGACCAGTCTGTGGTCAGCTAATCTTTTGGCCACAACTAATTCAAAGGATGATCCTAGGTAAGTGTTCTATTTCGTGGGACCTGGTATGTTTTATAGGTAACTCTTTCCTGAAGATCAATACACTTACAATCAAACCAGGCAATCTGTAAGAATTCTATTTGACTCCAATGTTGTCATCATAGGAAGAGTAATATGGCGTTCGATCTATATTCTGTTCAAATCATAGAGTTGACTCATGTCAACATCAAGGTCAGTCCCTTCCCCCATGTTATAGACAGCCAAACTGAGGCTAGAAGCACTCACGAGATTTATCCAAAGTGAAACTGGTGGCAGAGTTGAGGTAGGAACCCAGAACCCTTGCATTGCCACCCCCCCCCCCGCGCCCCACCTCATCTCACACCTCTCTCCTTCTTCCTCATGACACTCCGGGAACAGCAGTCTTCATTCTGTCCTCCTAACAGGGCCTTGGTATACTTGGATTTCCTCTACCTTTCTCCTCATGTGTTCCTGCGATTCCTCCTTCTGTCAGGTGTCACTTCAGTTTCCATCTTTTTAGAGAGGCCTTCCCTAAAAATCCACCAGTTACTGTCTATCAAATCACCTTGCTTACTTCTCTTCCCAGCACTTGACTATTGAAATTATCTTCTTTATTATTTCTTTTTCTATTGTTGTCTCCCTGCCATTCACAGGTAACCACCAAGAAGAGCTGGGGCCATACCTGTCTTGTTCCTCGCTGTATTTCCTGCTTCTAGGATGGTGTCGGGGACAGCGTAGGGGCTCCACGAACACTGCTGACTGCAAAAAGGAAGAAAAAACTTTTAAAAGAGCCATTCTGTTTATCTGGATTTTTTGATTACACTGTGTTGCAACTTTTAATTAATGTAGCATAATAATATTTATTGAGGACATGCTATATTTTCCAAAAGCTCTGTTAGGCCTTTTTGAAACCTTTGCAATAACCCTGGGTGGTAGGTATAATTATCCTTGTTTTATTGATGCAAAAGCTGAAACTCAGAATTTAAGTGACTCAACAAGTTGCAAAGCCCCATTCAAACCCATGCTGGTCTGATGTGAAAGTAATCATACCTAAGACTTGCAACATGCTTTATTTATTATATCTGTTCCCTAGTATTCAATATCAGGGCCGTATCAGTAAATAACGATTACAGAACACTTCCCAGATTGTGAGAGCTCAGAGCAGGGTTTAATTTCACATTAATAATGGAGTAGTCAAAAGTACAAAGATGCTTATAATTACATTGATCTTTGAATGTTCAAGTAAGCTTTGGCTTCCTCATTTGTTCAGGTTTTGATTTGTTTGTTGTGTCTGCTAGGGCTCAGGAGAGGAAAGGAGAAATAGCGTCAGTGAGGAGAGAGATTTTGCTCGGGCCTGGGAGACCAGGAGGAGCTAATGAGAAGTTTTGTTCCCTGTTCTGACTGCTAATTACTGAGCCCTCACCTCCCCTACCTGTAATGTGGAGATTTGTGGAAAGGTTGCCTAACAGGTTGGGAGAGAATTGAATGTTGCTTTGGGCTGGCAGAATTTTTTTTTTTTTTTTTTTTTTTTTGACTCTTCTCAAGGCCAACATAACTTTCTGCCTTGATTCTTACATCCTGGCCATTATTAGAGAAGGGAGGTGGTAAAGAGGAAGGTCAAACAGTTGTTCTCTTCGGTTCAAGGATGTTTCTAGTCCCCCCAAAGGGCACCAGGTGGAGAAGATTCAGGAATTTTATCAGTGTTCCAGTCAGCTGCCTCTAATCCTGGCCATGGTCACAGGCATCAGGTGGCAACTGTCAGGCCCACAGGTGACCTCTGGTGGGTAGGCAACATCCCCCACATGCCTTCTCCCTCCTGCCACTCTCTCCACCCTTCTGCCCCACCTCCTCAGTCCTTTACAATATGTTACCACCATTCTCTTCCTGCTAGCCTACGTCCGTCCAGAAGGGCATATGCTAAGAATCTCCTCCCCAGCCTAGAGTTTTATTGCAAGAGCGTGCTTGCATGACTGGAGCTTCAGAAAGTGTCGTGTCCACCCATTTGTTTTGATCCAAATATCCCCTTTGGAAAAACCCAGAATTGATGTTCACCTATAGTAACACAGGTGTGTAAAAAAGATACCCAAGGACTCAATGCAAAGGAAGGAAAATTCAGTTTTAGGCCCCTCTAAAGTCTAGACGATCCTTTGTGCTACGTAGAAGGACGGAGGGGAACAGATGGTGAGCCGGTCTTCTACTCTGTGAACTTCTGGGACGCACCCAGAGCAATGAGTTGCAGTGAGGAAGACAAAGCTGAATTTTTGAAATATGTTAATGATGAGAGGAAAGAGGACTACCTGTGCATCAAATGTTAAATGAGAGGGGTGAAATACTTTTCTTTACCAGGTTACCTAGCAAGCTTAGGGTGGAAACATGGGAGAAGAAAGTAGAGTGTGAAAAAGCAGTTAAACATGGCTTTTAGGAGGAAAAACAAGGGAAGAAGCTAGGAAGGAAAGCAGGATCGGAGTTCACCTGAGAGGAGCAAGGTAGGATTAGAATAGATAGGAGGTGGGTTTAGGGAATTTCTGCTGTCAGAATCCTGGGGTGCCACTGTGCCTGGGGAGGCTGCATTTGTTTCCAAAGTCAAGGGATGGACACAGGGTCATCCAGGAAAGAACTCATATATGCTAACTGATGTTTTCCAGAGATCAGGGCCGGGGAGGATAGGCAGATTTCCAGGTAGGTACACAGGGCACCTGCGTGTTGGATGACAGAGCCGTCTTGCAGCTCACAGAAGCAGCACAGGTGCAGTGAGCTGTTCCCAGGATTGGCTGGGTCATTACCAAGGTCAAAGGAAGACTTAGCTGTGGGTGTGTGGGGCTGAGCTCTGATGTGGCTGAGGTGTGAAGTCTGGGTGCAGTGGTGTGCAGAAAGCTAGGGTGCACCACACTGGCATGGGCAGGGGGCCCCGAGGGGCCAGCAAAGGTTCATGAGTCCAGATGCCTGAAAGGAAGAATGTCCACATGAGACCCCAGGAGAGCTTGAATAGGAAGGCAGATCTTTGCCAACGAGTTTCAGGGGCTCGTTCCTGTCCTAACTTGGTTGCGGCTAGTATCTGAATGGGTTGCCTAGAGAGAAATGCAAACAGCTGACTTTACGGAGAAGCCCTTAGTGGAAATGCAGAGATCATGTTTATCATTAGTGTTGCCCTTGGTCAAGGGTTAGAGCTACAAGCAAGGCAGCTAACCGGAAGGGACCAAAGGAAGGATGGTTGGAACAGACTGGGATGGTTACGTTTAGGCCAACTTATCAAAGTAACTGAGGCTGGGGACCCATCACTCACCTGACTATTCTCTTTCACCGTACTAAAATGGCTGGCTCTGACACCATGTTTAAGGGGAAAGCTCTTTAGGAGAAAAGGAGAGACTTAGACAGATGTTCCCATCAAAACTAAGTTCCATTCCAGTGGGGTAGGCAGTTGAGGCACTGGTCTGGGATCAGTAACCCACACTGCATCCAGAAGAGACAGAAATTTAGAAGCCAAAGTGTCTGTCAGGAGGGCCAAAGGAGGGGTTCCACCTTGAAGGTCATGGCAAGGCAAAGGTCAAGAGCTCAGATGTTTAGTCAGAATAACACTCCTGATCAGCCTTGTTGTATTTAACAAGGAGGTGGTCTCAAGGTGGGGAAGGAATTGGGTCTACCTATGGTTTGGGTGGAGTTTACTCTTTCCCCACAATAGGGGTTGGTCCTGGCTGACTTAATCCAGTGATTGGTTCTGGGGCGCATAACCCAGTCTGAGACAATAAGAAATAAGATGTTTGCTAAGCTTTCTATGAAAGAAATCTTTTCCTTTCCTGTTTAATAAGACTTTTTTTTACCCCAGGCAGTAGAGTGTGAATTGAATATGTGAAATGTATAGGTGTTGTAGCCATGGGGTGGAAGGTGTGGGGCCAGGTGGGCTATAGGCCTGTCATGTGGAGCCTGAGGATGGCCCCCATATTGTGGCAAAACGGAGGTGAGGACTTTAGTAGCCTTGTCTGAATGACTGTATCAAAACTGACCTGAAACATCAATTGCCACTGGATCTCAGATACATGAATGAATACATTTACTATTTGAGCCAATTTGAATGGGATTTTGCCTTTATTTTTTCAACTTAGTCTTAACTGATGCATTAAGGAAGGGTGAGGGAGCAAAGCCTAAAGGAGTAGTTATGATGGCTTACAAAGTCCTCTCATTCAGGAATCAAGCCTTCTGGAAAATAAATCCTCCTGGCGCCTCTTGGGATGGTGATTTGGAGTATTACTTGAAAGCAGTCCTGTGGGCGGGGGCTTCCCTTTGGAAGCAGCAGCCCCTACCACAAACTGAACAAAGGTGCACAAGGCCAGCAATGATGTTCAGGAGGTGAATAGTGAAAATGTCATCCCTTTGTGTTTGATTTGCTTGTTGGGCTTTCCTAAAAGGGTGGGAGGGAGGTCAGAATTTCTTGCACTCTGCTAAATATTTTGCTGAATTCATCTGTGAGGCTGAAGAAACAAAATTGGCCCTTTCAGATCGTTCTCTAACTTTCAAGAAAGCAACACAGCCCCAAATACCACAAGCTGGCCCAGTGTGGGCGGTGCCAGGAGAAGGCGCAGAAGTGTTCCCGGTTAAAGCCCTCCCCGAACCCCTCCCTCATGTGATCTTTCCAGAAGGAATGTGTTCCTGCGACCAGGTTCCACCCTGCAGCCTCAGCCTCCTGGACCACATCCTGAGACTCTACTCCGAAGCACTCTTTGGTTGGGGCTCAAGAAGCACTGGTCCCAGTAAAAAGTCACCTGCAAAGGAAACTCGCACGAATAGTCAGTCACTTTCAGTGGCCTGATGCCAGAGAGCAGGAGAGCTCCCCAGCACTGCCATTCCTTTCCCGCTGACTTGTATTTTCTCCAGTGTTCCGAAGCAAATGCTGAGTCATGTGTGAGCATGAACCCTGAATTATCAGCCATCCCTCAGTATGAACTAAGCCATCTGACCCTGTCCTGAGAGCAAGTTTGGGCTTCTGGAGAAGGGAGAGAGCAGTTATCCACGTGGCTTCAGAAGGAGCCCTGGAGGAGAGAACAGACGGAGGAGAGAACTGACAGAAGACAGAACTGATGGTTCTGGAGTGGAAGCCTCATGCTGGGCCTCTTAATGGCTCTTCATCCAAGTCGCCCTAATTGACTGTTTTTCAGAGAATGCCAGAAAGCTAGTCCTGCCAGAGACAGGTCTCTAAACTTTTTTGCTCTCCTACTTCCTAAGAGAATTCTGAAACATCAAGATTTTCCATCGTCAATATAGAGGCTTTTTTAAATTAACGGTAGAAAATATAAAACACTTGGATTCAGGTGAGGATCAATCACAATGGACATAAATATTTTATAATATGACTTGCTAAAACAAATTTTAACTGCTTATTGAATAAAGAGAATCAAATCTACGGGCGTCTGGGTGGCTCAATCGGTTAAGCGTCCGACTCTTGATTTCAGCTCAGGTCATGATTCCAGGATCATGGAATCGAACCCTGCATCGGGCTCCATGCTGAGAGTGGAGCCTACTTAAGACTCTCTCTCTCTCTCTCTCTCTCTCTCTCTCTCTCTCTTTCTCTCTCTCTCTCTCTCTCTGTATCCCCCTCTGCCCCACTTGCGCACACGTGTTCTCTAAAAAAAAAGAAAAAAGAGAGAGAATCAAATCTGAAAGAAAAAAATGTAAAATTTTTCCCATGAGTTTTCTTTGATATATCTCAAAACATTTGGTGGTCTCAGAAAAACATTCCAGTTATAGACTAAAGAACATACGTTACAAATCGGTATCATTTCAGTTACTCTGAATTCCGAGCAGCTCAGCATGTCCGAAATACTGCATTCATGCACAGCTTCAGGCTTAACAAAACTCTGGGTAAAATGGGATCCTAAGTGTTTCATGATTTAACATTCAAGGAGCAGGCAACCCAGAATACTTGCATCCCAGTGTAGGTCCTCATGGTAAGATTTGGGGTGAGTGAGAGGCCAGCCTCTCTTTTACCAAGGGGAACAGCCCACAGCATTGGGAAGGCAGTCTTATTCTCAGGTGGATCAGTTCTATGAAAGGAAACATACGGAATTAAGATCTGGAAATTGACTCCTTTTAAATTACCTGTATCCCTTGAGAAGTCTTCCTATGCCCTCAGGTACATGCATCCCAGAATCGGGTACACTCCATGACAACAGGGTTCCAGGGAAATGCAGCTGGATTTCCTTACTGGCTTCTTAAAGGCTCTGAGAGGGCCTGCAGTAAAGAAACACGTCCTTGTTAAACCCAGAGTTTTCTAAAAGTACTTTTTCATTTGTTTTTAACGCTTGTTACCATTACCATAAAAACTTTTGGACTAGTGTTATTTTTGGCATTCATTGGCATAACAAATTTGAAGTTGAGTCACTTGCTCTAGGCCAGGGGTCCACAAACTCTGTAAAGTCAGATGACAAAGGTTTTCATCTCTGAAAGCCATTTGGTCTCTGTTGTAGGTACTCACCTCTGCTATTGTAATGCAAAAGCACCATAGACAATTCATCAATGAATTAGGGCAGCTGCAGGTTCTAAAAAAAGCCTGTATTTACAAAATCAGGCAGTGGGTTGGATTTGGCCTGCAGGCCTTGTGTACTTTGATCACCTCTGCACCAGGCTGTATATCTAAAGGGATTTGAAGCCAGGTCTGGTGACTTCACAATGTGGACCCTGTCCCCATGTCACTCTGAGGAGGTGTCACGGAGAACCCCATAAAAGGAGGCTGCAGCACAGGAGACAAACCTCATCCCCTTGGGCATTTGGCCAAGGGCTGGCCCCTTCCAGCTTAGCTGATTCTGGGGCCGACGTGGGCCTCTTCCTCAGTGTTCGAGTGCCTGCCATCACCTCCACTCATCTTTAAGGAGAAATCAATACGGACCTTGTGGCCCAAAGAGAAAGTAGCCCCCATAGGCCTCAGTTGCCAAGTATAAAGCAAAGCACACAAGAAATCTTTTAGAGCAAACCAACACCTCTACTGTTCTGGGCTCAATCAGGTCCACCTGGAGTTCTTTCTCTTATTGTTGAATAAGCTTGACCTTGAGTCAAGGGCTTCTGAATATGCAAGTAATTGGATTGGTTGTTTCAATTTTAGTTCTTCAAGGCTTTCTGAATCCTGGACAGTACTCATAAAACTGCCTGCTGCCAAGGTAAAGGCATTTACCTGGGAAAGGAAGGCCCTGCGTGACCTGCCCTGATTTGAAGCCATACTCCCTTGTAGGACAACCTTCGGGAAGAGCCTAACGGGGTTCGTTTTGGGATGGAATCAAATGATGGCCATGATTTCTTGGGCGGAGATAGCTCCCTGAAAGTCATCTGGGCAGCTGCAAAATGCTGAGGCGTGGCCACCAAGCCCTAATCACGGAGGCCCTTTGCAAAGGCCTCCATTACATTGTTAACCTCCCCAACAATAGAAGGAACTATTTTCATTTTTCTAAGAATGGTAGGCAGGGGTCACATCATGAAAGCCTAGGGATGGCATGCTAAGGAAGTCAGATTAGATACTGCTGGGAACTGTTAACGAAGGAGAGTGGCTTGCCCCAGTGTATCTATTAGAAGAGCCCCTCTGGGCAATAGGATGAGGAAGACTGGAGGGTTTCAGAAGGGCCCAGGAGAGAGATGAGGGGGCCTGATTTTAGGCTGTGACTCAGGGCAGCGGTGGGGGGGACAGGGAGGGATGGAAAAGAGAGGGTGGCTTTAAATGAGAGGCTTCAGAGATAACTCACATGGCTATTTAAGTTGTAGGCTGAAGTAAACATATTGAAAATCAGCAAAGTGGATACGATAGGAAAATGCTAAAAGCGAACAAGACTTTCCTTGGGAGGAGTGGAAAAGGATTGTGGATCATGACGAAATGCAGGCTTAAGCTAAGGAGCGAAGGCTCGGAGCGAGGAGGATGGGGACTATGGTCAGGAGGCTTTAGGCCCCACTCGCTCTTTGACATGGACAACTGAGGTCTGCTCAGTATTATGAAAGGTGCTGGGCAAATGCGACTCCAGCCTCCTCCTCTCTCTCCACGCATGTCATCACCCCGAGCCCTTCCTGTATAGAAATTCTAGAGCCATCCTTGCACTAACCATCCTATAAAATTCATGGTTTTTGCAACAAGCATGGTAGTCTTCCAAAGGAAGATCAGTGAGTCTGACCTCTTGCTTAAATATAAATGAAATAACCCTGCTTTATAATCATTACCACAACATGGAATAATATTTAGACGGGTCACCTCTTGAAACAGAGAAAAAAAAAACAAAAAACAAGTGTCTTTTACAACGAAGAACGGTAACTACAAAGGAACAACACTACAGAGAAGCACTCCTAGCTTAGTTGTGACTGTTTCCAAAATAGCAGCTGAGGCAACCACCTTAAATATGGAAATCCCTGTGCAAAGGCAGGTGTCTGTTCTGCCGTCTCAGAGCCTGCCAGGACTTAGAGACCGTGTCATTGATCAGTGCCACCCACAATCAGGGGGCTGAGAACTTGGGGTAATTGGTGAAACTTTAGCGATTGTCTCCAAGGCGTATCAGACGCTGGCGGAGAGCAGCAGGCACTACTCGCTGCTTTCTTTGAACTCTCTCCCCTTACGCTCTGGCCAGTTCATTAGCTGCCAACAGGCTGCAGCCTCCTCTCCCCACTGCGGCCACCTGACACCGCTTTGGGCTTTGTTCCTGCACCACTGGAACTCCGTGGCAAAATCAGATCCAAGTCCGCGTTATCACGGGTACAGCAGAGCAGTCTGTTCTCGGGTTTTAGATGTCCTTTCGCATTTGGCTTTTCTTTCTGCTGCCGCCCTTCTAGCTATCTTTCTGACCTGCTCTCCTGGGCCGTGACTTCTAACCTATCCATTGAATGCCTACCACACACTAGACTCTCTGTGGGGACTCTAAGATGCACAGGGCATGGGCCCTGCCCTCGGGGACCAGACAGATCAGCTGGAGAGAGAGGAATGTACACAAAGAGCAGCCTCTCTTAGCAGTGTGCAACTCCACCTTCTCCAGTCTCTAGAGAGGCCCTCTCCATGTGTGCCAAATCAGAGGTACAATGTGAGAAAATAAAATATTTCTTCTTGGGGGTCATAAAGAGTCATCAGTCGCATTTATGGGCAAAGTGTAGACAGATGTGGATAATATATACACGGCTGGGTGTACAGGGAATAGGAAATTGTCATATACTGGGACGATATACCTTTCACTAAGGTCATTAGATTTGTTTTGATTCCATATATATCCTAGCTGTGGTTTTTCATTAAAATTAAAAAAAAAAAAATTTCTTTGGTACCTAGTCCCTGGGATCATAATAGGAATCTCTAGGAAACTCGGTAAACACAGGTGAGGGACGGAACAAATGTCTTATTTCAATGTAAACCTGAACAGTATGGTCCCAATGAGTCCCATCTATTTTTAGTTTCTTGTCCCTCCTTTGCGAGGTAACACAGGAGTGACACCGACCGAAAAGATGAACAGAACTCCCAAGGGGAGTTTCCAGCTTTTTTGTGTTTCTTCATCCACTGATCTCTCCACGTTAAAGAAACTGTATTTAAGACCCTGATGAAACTTGGCCACAAAGCGTTCCGTTCAGACTTTTGTTCTGTAAGGGAGCAAAAAAAAGCAGTTCCAAAGAACTGATCTTACTTTTTTTTGTTGGAGGCTTCCGAGTTCTGTCTGTTGAAAGAACATTCTGCTAATTAGTCAGACAGCCGGTGAGTTGGGGCTGCTTGGTTTTTAAGGGAATAGGCACCAAGTGTAAGTATCCCTGACAGTTGGGATTTCTGCTCTCAGTTTGCTAACACTGAGTTCCCCTCTGTTGTGATCAAAAAAGTCCAGCCCTTCTGTGGTTCCAAGAAGCACTGAATATTTGAACACAATCCTGTGTGTGGGATGGAACAGGAAGTTTGCTAGGAGATCAGGTTTGGGGTAAACTGCAGGACTGAGTAGGGGGAGAATGGATTTTATCCCTATAGATACCAAAGAGTGGATCAGAATTTCTTGGCTCATTCACCCTAGTCTTTTGGGCTGGGTTGGCTCATGGCCCTTGGCAGTCTTTAACTTTTTCTTCTGTTCTTGTGTGACTTGTCTCATACCAGGAACTGTAACATAGGGGTTTAGAATCAAACAGACATGAGTTCCAAACCTGCTTACTTTGGTCAAGATTCCCAAGCTCTTAAGTCTCAGTTTCTTCATCTGTAAAATGGGGATAATAATAGCATTTAGGGTTACTGTGAGGGTTTTACCACCATAAAGTATAATATGTATCTGGCTTGTTGCTCAATCCGTAGTGGGTGCTCAGGAATTTATTTTCCTTCCTGGTATTAACTTTGCCTCTTAACAGCTGTGAAACTTTTAACAAGTCAATTCAATATTTCTGGTCTCTGTTTCCCTTATCTTTTAATTGGGTAGGAGGAGGACACAAGGATAACACCTGCTCACTGCGATGTTCTGAGATGTTTCTGGATGATTGTGCCTGCAGCTATGGGACACTACAGGAGACCTGCCTGGTGGCTCGGTGGTTGACTTCACAGTCATTATCCTTGTGGGATGGAAGAGTGTCAGGCTTGTGTCTGAGATGTCAGGGGTGTGTCTTCTGGAAGGTGGGAAAAACCTGTGGGCATGCTCGTTGCAGGTGGACATCCTGAAAGCAAATAGTATTTTTTTTTTCCTTTGGAAAGTGTGATGGCTAATTATTATGTATCATCTTAACTGGGCCATAGGGTGCCCAGACATCTGGCCAAACATTATTCTAGGTATGTCTGTGACAGTGTTTCTGGATGAGATTAACATTTGAATCAGTAGACTGAGCAAAGCATATTGCCCTGTCAAATATGGTGAAGGCCCAAATAGTAAAAAGCCTAACCGTCCAGGAGTAAGAGGGAACCCCTCCTGCCTGACTGCCTTCCCACAGGGACTTCGGTCTTCTCCTGCTTTTGGACTTGAACTAAAACTTGATTCTTCCTGTACCTTGATCCTACTCACCTTCAGACGGGAATTTACCCCCTGAGCTCTCCTGGGTCTCCAGCCTGCAGATCTTGGGCCTTGTCAGCTTCCATATCCACATGAACCAATTCCTTATGATAAATCTCTTTGCATATTTATTCTATTGGTTCTATTTCTCTAATACAGAAGGTCTCTCATGTGTCACTCTTTCCTCTCTCACTGCTTCTGTCCTAAAGCAGAATCTTCTCATCCCAGATATGAACAATAGCTGTAAAACTGATCTTTTTGTTTCAGCCCTCAGATGAGTCTTTCTAAAATTATCTTTGGTCTTTTTGCTACTCGAAAACCCAATGGTCCGATCACCTAGATGAGGCGGGGACCCCTCGGTCTGATATTCAAGGCCCTCTGCTCTGACCTACTTTATTGCAGTTCCCACCATTCTCCCCATAAAATGTCCACTTACCTGCTAGTAACCATCACTATTTTCCAAGGAATGTACATTTTCTCAACTCCCAACTGTTGTCTACGTGATTCCTCCTGCCAGGCATGCCTTTCCCTGCAGCCTATCCTAAACATAATCTCATTTTTGCCATGAGACCATTACAGCCATTGCAACCCATTGGTTTGGGAAACAACCTCCTGAGTTTCTGAGCTCAAGAATGG